TGAATTCGACCTTTGGTAGCAAACTTGTGTATTTATATTAGTATATGAACAAACAGAGATTTACCCACAATCGTGCGATTTTTAATGAAAGAGCAAATCACTTTTTAAATTATATAAATTATATAACGCGATATGTCATATGATCAATATTTTAACGAAATTGATATTTTGAATTGATTCTTTTGCGTGACTCAATTTGATCATTAAGGAATTATTTCATGGGCTTAAGGTACTAATCAAAATTTTCTTCCAGATCAGCGCGTTTTTTACTATTTAGTGTTTGAAGCATTAATTATAAGTATACTGCTATAAGTGTCAAAACTTTTTATTATTCTGTATTAGGTTTGGTACATTTTAAACGATTTTTAAGCGAAAATCCTTTGGAAATTGGATCGACCCTTCGGGTAAAAGTTGTTTTTAAAAAAGAACGTAACAAAAAAAAAAAAATAAAACACGTCATCAAATTTCAAATTAATAGATCTGACTAGACAACATTATTTTATTTAAAGGAAATTTACCCACAGGTTTTAATTCGATAGGATCTCTATTCCTATTGATTAAAAAAAGGAAATAAAATTATCTCGTATAAATTAAAAATGAAAATTACATGATCGTGACGTTATACAGTAAGTAATACACGAAAATATTTTTTTATGTGGAACTATTTTTTTTTTTTAATTGGCTATAATGGTTATTCGATTGAATTTTTGACTTGAGTAAAATTCGATCTGGCAATCAATCGAACAAATAATTACAAATAAAATAATAAAAAATTTCTTCTCTTATATTCTATTTATTTATTATATAACATCTATTTTGTATTGTTAATTTTAAAAATATACGGGTTAGCAAAAAAAAGATGTAACTAAAATTATTGGCCGAAGATCACGTGAATGACAGATTTTTTTTAACTACTCCGTTCAATTCTAGATCATCAGATCGGATCGTAATCATATTTAATTGTTTTTTTTCGGTCTGAACGATCTGATCTTGAACAGGGCTTATATATGTCGAGTCCGAAAACGGGTATATTAATTATTAATTTTATATAAACATACACTGTTAAATTAAAAATGTATCAGTCTAAATGTCTAATTGCAAACGTAACCAAAAACGCGAGGTACAAAAATAGACGCGTGATAGGCAACGTATGCAAGAATTAGAAGTAGAGTTTACGACGGATTGATTCATGATTTTTTCAATTGGTCATTAAAAAAAATACGGACGAAAATATTTAAATTGGTACTATACAATAATGTAAATTTATTATAAAAATTGTATACTGCAAAATGTCGTAAATATGGTTTTTGCGTTATGAAATTGAATAATGGAAGTTTTATATAGATGGATTTTTTGTTGATAACAAAATTCAAAAAGGTTGATTTAACACAGAATGTAAATACATAATTTTATCGTCGTACACCATTACGTTTATGTTTTTTAACAATTGAAAGTCTCATTCTTTTAATAAGAAATAACGCTTCGGTTGATCTAGTGATTTCCGTTTTCCTAATTTTATTTTATAAATCAATATTTATTAAATGAAAATTGTGAAAAAATTTTGATTTAAATAAAAAAAAAATTTGAAAAATCGAGTCTCAATTTATTAATAAAATTATAAAATAAAATTTTGTGTTTATGAATCTAGTGATGGTAAATATAATTAATTACAATTTCGTTTGACAATTTTTGAAATGACCTCTGAATGACTCAAATCACTCACAATCCTAAATCTAATTCGAATTGGGAAAATATATAAAGTAAAAGACAAATTTTTGAATAAAAGAGAACTCAATTCTTAAATGATTGTGCTAGTTAGAAATAATAATCTTTAAATATTACAAACGAAGTTTATTAATTTATCCTCGACAAATCGTCAAAAATGAGTATATACTGTACCTACCGTACCGTTCCGAAATTAAACAACCATTTTTGAACTTAATTCCGGCCAAAGTAGTCATAATTCTGTTCAAAATCGCCATAATGCGGGCCAGGGTTGCTTATTTTCGGGGGTTGTTTAATTTCGGAATGGTACGGGAAGTCCTGACTGGTCTTAAAATTTCAGTATTTTATATAGTAATTTGTTTGTATGAAAGTTGTCTTAGTCACGTGAATCAAATTAGCCAATAAAATCTGAGACACGTAGAAAATGTGCCAACATCTTGTTTAACATTGAACGGTTCACAAAATGTTTAACATTGAACGGTTCACAAATGTTTACGTTACAACGTCTTTAATCTTTCGAGTCTTGTCTCCTTCTATTTGATTTAACAATTTCATCCTTTATCCATTCTTCAATAATTTTAACATCGATCTTTGACATTTAATAAAATGGTTATCGGCTATTCAAATAAAATTTTTCAAAATCTTTTCTAGTAAATCAGATCACATGATAACTTTCGTCGTGATATGATTTTGTGCCAATATTACAAATTGGAAGCTATAGATGGCCTTGATACAAGCGGCCATAAGTGACTTTCATTTAAATTTGAATTTTGATAAATATTTAAAATCTGGTTTAAAAAATTTCGAGAGAATTTTCATTTAAAAATGTTTCTTTTATGAATTTGAAGAGCGTAAATAATTTTTATATAAATCAACAAGTGATAATTAATAGTGATTTTAGTGTAATTTACTAATATATGGTTTAATAAAAGTTTTGAGGTTTTTCTAGGTTCGTGAGATTCGTGGGTTTATTTATAGTGGTTTATACGAAGATCACCTTTGACAAAAATGTCCATGCTTTTAATGATGATTTCGTAAAACTTAATAGTACAATAGCAAAAATAGCAAAATTAATAGATCCGATGATCCGATTCAAAAAAATTTATACTGATGTATAAAACCCTTTTTTTGCTTTTTTTGGTAAAAAAAACAAAGAAAAATTAAAAATAATTAACTAAATTTGTTCGTATTGTCCATTTCTCTTTGATAAGATACTTCATTTAGATTGGACTCTTATCTAAACAAAGATGATAAATGACCAATTCTGAAACGCCAAATATTTCATTAACTATATTATTCTTTTAGAAATTACTTATTTATTTCATTTTAATCAAATAAATAAAGTTCTCATGACGTCTTTTTGTATGTAATAATTCATTGTAAAAATGTAAAGAATTATGCAACAAAAAATTCTTTGCATGTATTACATATGTTTACGCCAATAAAATTAAATTTTTTGATTCAAAAAAAAATTCTAAAATAATTATCCCATTTTTTTTAATAATAATAAAAAGCAAAAATTGTCTTTTTTAATCCTTATTTTGTTACCCTTTTACAGAAATTTATTGTCTGTATAGGTTACATGTAATATGCATTTAATGATTCTATTGTTCTTTTTTTGAATTCTTTTTTAGAAGTCTGGAACAAATTTATAGAATCTCTTTACCATACCTTGTTATAAAACCAAAAAGGAAATCTAATGCTGGCCAAAGCTCGTGAATTAATTTCATAATTGCATAATTTCGCAGATCCTTTGGCCGTAAACATCTAGTGGTACAATTATAACTGCGCAATGATGTAGATCAATATCAAATAAAAATTAGAATAAAGTGACAATTTTTAAAACATAAATCTTATTAATATTGTTGTAATATAATAAGACCAATAATAGTTCATTAGATATAAAATTAGAAAAAAAAATTATCGGTTTAGAATTCTTTCACTTTTTGCGAATCGTGTTCTTTAATTAAAAAAAGAAAATTTCTAAAAGGAATAAAAAACTCCTGAAAGTTTTATCAAACATTCTATTACTGCAAAAAATTATATTTAAAAAAAAATTATATAGTTCTTATTTTCTGGCACAATAAAACGATTGAAGAACTACAAGATAATTCGAATACTCTCTTTTCATGACTGATTTTAATTTTTACGGAGGAATCCTCTACGATACAATATGAGTAATAGTAATTTGTGATACGCAATGTTTTTTTTAATACTGATGGATGATCGACCATTGATTTGTTGAATCGATATATAATATACGATCATACGCATGAATGATTCACTGAAGTTGTGCTACAGTATATAGAATGCAGAGACTTTAAGGCCAGTGAAATGCTGCAATATACGTTAAATCAAATTTTAACGGAAAAATTTCACGTTCTTTCTAAAGCAAATCGCAATTTCTACAAACTGAAAATCACGTAAGATTATTCACAATTATATTTTTTTTCGCCAAAGAGTTTTTGTACTGAAATCGAATTTGTGTAACTATCTAGCTTATATAAAGGACCAATAATCGGGAAGCATAAGGGTAGTTTGATTTCATTTGTTTATCAGCAAAGATCTGATTGGCTGAAATCGATTTTATAACAGATCATTGAGCCGATTTTGAAGGTCTCACAAAAAATTTCAAGGAAAAGATCATCATTTAGCTCTTATTCTTTCTCACGTGAGTCTAGGAACAATAAAAAAAAGACCAAATTTTATTAGTGTAACAGTTCAAGTTCTTCCTAGTAACATCGGTTGTCTTTGAATATGTTGATAGTTTTCAATAAAACGAAGTGGTTTTATCAGGTGTTAAGTTGTTTACTATGTACTATAATGCATTTATGGCGGATTGAATTCTATAGTAAAATCATATGTGTAACATTGATAAAACATATATGGAACTTTCCCTATGCTTAATCGGGCACGTTTTTAATTGTCGCACCAAAATGATCATCATTCCCCAAAAATATCGGCTGAATATTTTTGTTCACTTAAACCTATCATTTCGTTCAATAGACTGGGATTTTCTTGTCACCTATTCTCTGAAGTTAAAAAAAAATTCCCTCAGACACTTTGTTGGTCGTATATGAAACTTAATGAGCAAATTTAAATAAGTAAACAACGAGGATCATATACAACAATTTAGAAAGTAAGAAAGACTATTTACTATTTTATTTTCCGCTTCTTCTGTTTTCTTGTCAATATTAACACATAATTTACTTTATTTAGTTATTAAAAATAACTATATCTGATATAGTTAGTTGATTTTTGGACTGCGCCACATAGGAAAGACGAGTGGAAAAAAGCGAAAAAGCCCGATATTTAAATGGTTTTTTTTTACGGCACAGCAGAAATTTTCGTTTTGGTTAGGTTATACTAAAATACAGAAAATCCAAATGATAGCAAATCGCCAAATATGGTATCTGCTGCGCCACCTCTAATTAATATGGTGAAGTTAATTTTGAATTCATGATACCTATAGCTCGAAGTGTGTGATACAAACGAAATAAAAATATTATTGGATGGAGAGGTATCACAGATAATTAATTATTACGATCCTCGAGAATTTGAGAATCTTTCTAAGACTATCGGCTTTGGAGGTTCTGCTTCGGTTTACACTACAAAATGGATGGGAACAACAACATATGCAATTAAAAGATTTCGCAATAGTTTTAGGGATGATATTATTAATGAGGTTTGTTTTGTTTATGAGCATTTTTTTGTTTGTAGATAAAGTCTCACGTTATTATTTTCTAGGTTTATTTAATGGGAAAAGTTAATTGTCACCCAAATATTATTAAAATCTGTGGAGTTACGACACTCGAAGGTAAAAAATATTTTTTTATGTAAATGAAAATACTGAGATAACAGTTACACAACTCAATGACGCCATCCTAGACCTGCTATTGAAAACTATCGGTATTGATATCTTCTTAACATTTATAACATTACTAATATACTAGATAAGACTCCCATGTTTTAAGTGCGAGTTTCTGATAGTATCTGGTTTAGATATGAAAAATCCAATATTCTCTGTCCACTTTGTATAAACACTTATAAGTACTGTATTTCTTTTTTAGGCGAAACAAATTATTCGCTCATCCTCGAATATGCGGATAGTGGAACATTAGGAGAGTATTTAAGGGAAAACGCTGCAACTTTTAGATGGGAAGATCAATTAAAATTTGCAAATGATATCGCGAGTGCAGTTTTGTGTCTACATAGGCATCAAATTATCCACAGTGATCTCGTAAGTTATTACAGAATATTATATTTGCTTCCAATTTATGTTGTTTTTTTTATAATTAACATATTTTTTATTTAGCATCCCGGCAATGTTTTAATACATCAACATTCGATAAAAATAGCAGATTTCGGACGTTCACGTCTACACGGATCGGTTATCAACAAAAAAGAAAAAGCACATGGTTTAATTCCTTACATGGATCCAAAATTCCTAAAGATCATTCGTGTGATTTAACTAAAAAATCTGATATATATAGTCTAGGAGTATTATTCTGGGAATTAACAAGTCGTGAATCGCCTTTTGATTTTGAAACAAAAAATAATTTCCCTTTCGAAATTATTAAAATCAAGTCGAACATCCTTGAGGGTATGAGAGAAAAACCTTCTCCAAGCACAAACCATAAATTCATTGCGCTGTATGAAAGTAAGTATGAAATTATATTATGATTTTTTAGTAATCAAATTTTAACTGTCGTTATTTATTTCAATAGAGTGTTGGCAACATGAACCAAATACAAGACCAAAAATTCGTCAAGTAATTTCAGAACTTGAAGAACTCAATAATAATGAGCCTTTAGTTGTATCAGAAAATGTTAGTTTTAAAGAAATCGAAACAACATTAGAAATATCAAAAACACCAGAAAACGATGAAGTTAACATACCAAGTTATGACTGTGACATAAACAAATGTGAGTTATAGGACACTTAATTATGATGTACTTTTTATTCGTATTATTTGTAGACAACATGCCTTTATAGTTGAATAAATTATAGATTAATTTTCGTGGTTATTGTAAATATATCGTACAGTACAATGAAATAATGAGTAAAAAAAAAAATTCACTATATTAGTATTTGTTGGTCCTTTATTAATTATATTCGAAATCTGATATGGTCTGTCACCAGATTATCATACTCTTGTCAGGCAGTTAACGGAATACATTCTAAGTTAATGAAATTTCTGTAAGTAACACTAGCCAATTAGGATTTGTGTCATCGGTGTTGTTTTCGTTTACCTTTAATGAAAAAATCTTGATGACGAGAAACATGGAGACATGTGATCACACACATGTACTTTTGGCCAGAATTAAAAATCTATTAAAATACTGGCCGGCATTACATCATACTGGTGATGATATTTAGTGGTCTGATACATCATTCGTTGATGGCCGTCATTGAAATTGGTAAATACACTAGTATTATCTTGGATTCACTTTCGTCAATATTTGGTTAGTGTATGAGATATTTCAAGTGTAAGTTCTCGTATATCATCATTACTTTGCAATCACAAAAAATAACATCTTGTAGAGTATCCGGCTAGGATGCAATCGACATTTTCATTATGAGGAAATTTTGATTCGTTAATGTTATTATAATATGCACTCAGACGATTATACTTACCTATATCATGTATACATCTTTAGAAAATTTTTATTAGAAACTCAACTTTTTGTTTTATAAAAATATTACAGTATAATATTACGAAACTAGCGAAATTGATATCAACGTACGTAACAAATTCTTGAGAAATTTGTTAATAGTCAACGCAAGCAATCGAGGTGAACAGTAATTATAAAATATCTTGCAATTATACAACTTCGCTGACAGAATTTATTGATAATTTATCTTGGAAAAATTGATACTTAACGGAAGAATTAAAAAGCTTTACAGATTTACCGATGATCTTTTTGATGATTCTAAAATTCGTGAAAATTTACGGTATTCCAATTTTTCATAGCCAAAATAATAATGTCGCATTTAAAATAAAAAACAAATAACAAAAATAAAAAATTTATCGAAAATAAAAAGATGAGATGTACGAAATGTAAATAAAAATAAGGGAAGATGATAATAGTAAAGTGTAAAATATTTTATCAAAAAGTAAAATTCCAAGACCCAACATTTTGGCCAAAGGCACTGATAACTGTACCATATAGATAGCCTATTTGTTCATCGAGGTGATTATTTAAATCCGGTTTTTCTCTAGCATAATCTACAATTCTTGAGAGGAAAGTTATATTTATTGCTAATATTAATTTCGTCAAATAATAGCCATTGCCAGAAAGTAGTGCCATATTTAACATTTGGATTACTGGATTCGTTAAGAGATATAGTCTATTGCAAATAATAATGAATCTATTGTTAGGTACTGCTTTCTCCTTAATCAACTTGTAATATACATAAAGCAAAATAATCGTCCCGAAGATTAAAAGTGCTACGTGTAAGTAGCTGAATCCGTTTTTTAAATTTAAATTATTCACCGGGTTATATCGGGTGTAAAATATGAAACAAATTTCATGAGTGAGTGAAAATATATCAGCTAACACCATAGGTATTTTGGGACTTTTTGGGAACATATAAATCCATACGATTGAAATGATAATAACACCAGTTATGGCTACAGAAAGGATTGGAATCCAGATGGGCGTTGCGAATTCTTCGTGGTTTATATAAAATACTATAGTTGGTAGAACGAATGAGGATAAAATATAAAGAAAGTCATCGAAAACTCGTTTAGGGGATTGTTTTAACGTTGACTTGGGTCTTTCTTCCGTTTTTTCACCTAAATCTCCTCTCGAATTTATTGGGGTCCCTCCTATATTTTCTTTCTCTTCTGCTCTATTATCTTCGGAAGCTCGTTTAGAGGATGATTTTAACGTTGACTTGGGTCTTTCTGCCGTCTCTACGTCTAAATTTTCTGAATTTCTCGCTTCTGACTCTCTATTGTCTACTGGTTTTTTCTTATCTTCTGGGGGTTTCTTAACTTCTTCCGTGTCAAATAAAAAAATTATCAGTAGAGGAGCAATCACATTGATTAATTGATCAAATATGTCTTGACTAGGGTCATATTCGTCAGCAAAAGCTGAATCAAAGGATGATAAGAGAATAATTCCAAAGAGAAGACGTTTTAAATGGCGCATTTTGTTGGATAGCTGTATGTTGGATAGTTGTAACAGATAAAAGTTTTTAAGGCAGTATATATATGTTGTGCATCATAATACCAAGACCTGGCTGAGTGATCATCGTTAGTGTTTTCGATAACTGTCTGATACTCTGATACTACCAGTTGATAGGACTAATCTTGTTTCGTATTTTATATTTGTCCAATAAACGAAAAAATTCATAAGATCCTAACCAGCATAATCTATAAATTATTGTGATGGACATATTAATCGGCTAAATTGTGATCATAGGAATGTTACACTGCCTAATTCAAAGTTGATTCCCGTTACCAGAAATTCGGTTAAATACAGTTCGCGAAAAAAGTAATCGGAATTACAAAATGAACAAAAAATAAAAAACCAGTGATTGAAATTTCTTCAAATTTTGCAAGTTAGTTGTTAAATGTGTAAACATTGTGTATATTAAGTCTCAGCCTTTTGTCTTACTTAGTTGTCTCTCAATCAATTTTTTAATTTGAAAAAAAAATCGTTTAAAAATTTAAGAAATGAAAATTTCATAAAGATTTTAATATTGTGCTCAGAAATTACCAATATGCCTGTATATCCATAATAAAAAATTATAAACATAAAAGCATATCCATAATTAATTTATTAAAAAAATTTGTTGCTATTTTAATCAGTTAGTTTTCAGTAAATTAAAATTAAAATTGACTCAAAAATCCTCGAAAATCATTAAAATTTAGATAAATTTAACCACATTAAAATATTTGGATTAATAATTTTTATTTGTATATTTTGAAAATTATTAATCTAAACATTAAATATATTTATATAATTTTTATATTTATTTTATGTTTAATTTTGAATTTTAGTTCTTTTAATGAAAATTAGTAAGGGATTACGATCATCATGATGAATCAATTTTCTCAACAACTAATGAAAAATAAAGTGTCAAATTTTTTTTAATGAAATTAACATGGCATAAACTCAAACCACAATTATTCAAGTTTTAATAAACTTCAATTTTGAATGCTTTATGAAATTTATATATTTTTTACAGTTTAAATTTTTGATGATTTTTTTTTTTTATTAAATTAAAAAATCGATTGAGAGATAACCAAGAAAGATAGAAGGCTGAAATTTAATATACATAAGATTTATATATTTGACAACAAATTTGCAAAATTTGAAGAAATTCTAATAGAATCCTGAAAGTTTTATCAAACATTCTATTACTGCAAAAATTATAGAGTTCTTTTATTTTCCTGGCACAATAAATCGATATTTGAAGAATTACAAGATAATTCGAATACTCTCTTTCCGTGTCTAATGGTTAACATATGTGAAGTTGTGATTTTAATTTTTACGGAAGAATCCTCTACGATACAATATGAATAATAGTAATAAAAGAGTAACTTGTAATACGCAATATTTTTTTAATACTGATTGGATGATCGACCATTGATTTGTTGATAGTATACGATCATACGCATAAATGATTCAAGTTGTGCTACAGTATATTGAATGCAGAGACTTTAAGGCCAATGAAATGCTGCAATATACGTTAAATCAAATTTTAACGGAAAAATTTCATGTTCTTTCTAAAGCAAATCGCAATTTCTACAAATTGAAGATCATGTAAGTTTATTCACAATTATATTTTTTTTTTTTCGTCAAAGATTTTAAAGATTTTTTTGTACTGAAATCGAATTTGTGTAACTATCTAGCTTATTGTTTAATACGAATTCGAGACATAAAGTGCAATAAAGAGAAAAAAGAAAAAAGATCTTTGCATCATTATAGCTTTCTTGAGATTAGCAAAATAAAATAATTCCGTATTTCGAATAAAAAAAAAGAAATTCTTTCGGATAATCCAAATTTATATCACGATCAAAAAGAGTTATGATCTATTCACCATCCTCAGCCACCTCCTCCACTACCGCCTTTACCACCACCTTCACCATTACCTTCAGTCCTTCAACACCACCTTCACCACCATCATCAATTCATCATCGGCCCGTCACCACCATCACATCACCGCCACATCACACTCTCAACAACGCCACCATCACACCACCACACCGCACCGTAAGTCCGTAATACCACCCTCCACCACATCAATCGATAAGAGGATTAGGATATAGATTAGAATAAAGGAAGAAGTTAGGGAAGTTTGATCAGATAAGAGATTAATGTAAGGAAAAGAAATCACAAGGATTATACAAGGGAAGAAATCAGGATTTAATAGCGTAAGAGAAAGAAATCAGAAGAATTAGTATAAGGAGAAGAAATTAGGATTAGGAATCAAGGAAATGGCCAAGATTAGAGTAAAGAATTAGAGTGAAGGAAGGAGATTATGGTAATTAACTGAAGGATTAATTAAAGCAAGTAGTAAGTAAAGAACAAACAAAATAAGAAAAAAAAAAGTTCCACAATTCGTCCAATTTGTCTAAAAATTAAACAATTCCGATTGTTTTTTTTAAAAAAAAAAAAAATTAAAAATTTTTTTATTCGTTTCGTTTGTATATTGCACCATACGGTCGCGTTTCTTCGTTGTGTTGCATAATACATCTGCGTCCCACGTTTTTAGGTTTATTAGTAAGAATTTTATTTACGGAAGAAAAGACATTGGGATTTCATCAGATGCGGTGTTTCTATTGACAAAACTTAAATAGTTTGAACGGCATAAAAATTTAATTCTATGTAACTGTAAAAAAGGAAGCAAAAAATTTTTACGTTCGGAGCGCAATTTGTGATTATGTAAAAATCTAAATAGTTGAACTTAACTGTGGTGTTTTATTTTTTTCGCTAGCACAAGGATTTATTGTTTTATTGGTATTTTATTTATTAACTGCACATTTTACATGTGGTAAGCTCGATATGTAGCCTTTAAATCGAAGTAACGAGCGAAAAACCAATTAAAAAAAAGTATAAGACTAGTTTTCTCCCCATGTGATTTAACCCAGGTAACATCACCTACGTAAAATTAAATCATGTAGATTAGTTAGGGTTAGAGTTAGGGTTAGGGATTGGGTTAGAGGATTAGGATTAGGGTTAGGATTAGGGTTAGGATTAGGATTATGGTTAGGGGTTAGGATTAGGATAAGGTTTGGGTTCGCTGGAGTTATTAAATTTGATGACGTCATTTTAAAAATAAAATTTCCAGTTATAAAAGTTATAAATTTTATTTTTTAGTACAGGTGATGTCACCTAGGTGACATCTCCCAGAGAGAAAGTTAGCAAAATTCTAAAAAAAAATATATGAAAAAATAAATGAATTGATGGAATAACTATAACAAAAATATTTGGAAAAGAAATTTCAGCAAAAAATTCATCAAAAGATTTTTTTATAAATAGCAAAAAAGGTTAGGAAGTTTTTTTTTTTTTAAAAAAAATCGTTTATAATTATAATTCTATTATATTAATTAAAATGTGTCAAATACGATTTAATTGTTTTTTTACAAAAAAATTGTTAAAATACAGTACCTCTCATAAAGAATCACTTGAGGCTTTCATAAATTTATTTAGAGTTTTTAGTGCCACTGTAACTGGTTTTCTACGTGATGGTACATTTTGTTCGTATAAATTATTGTCAAAATATAATATTCTATATCTATCCATTCAAGTTGCACGATAAACGGTGCTAAATCCTCCTTATCCTAACAATATTTTCGAATCTGTCAAATGGAATCCATTCAAGAAAATTTTCCGTATATGACTCAGCTATGAGTTGAGTTTCTTTGATAAATTCATCAATTTCTGACACTACGTATGTACATAAAGTACCTGCAAAGTCCACTGCGTGTATGACTTTAAAGGAATGGCAGGTATGTTACTTTTTACATGTGAATAAATAAATATTGGGAACTTTCCTTGCCGTCATATCAGGTAAATATGCGAATTCGGAGGAAAGATGATCATACTAATGACATTGCATGTTGAACGGACACTTTCGTCTTATAATGGATTCAAGCCTAATACCCAAACATTTTAATATAAAATTTATTAAAGTTTTATTCATTGAGTAATTATAGTTAATTTTAATTAGAAATATGATGATCATTATTGAAATACAAGAATGATTAAAAGATTAAGATTTTTATTATTGAATGGAGAATTGTACTAATTTTGTTGAAAGTATTGACAGAAATAATTTTAAAACTAATGGAAAATCCAAAAACGGAACAAATCAAAATCAAGGGTTATTTAAATGAACCAAATCAAAAACAAAATGAAAAATAAAAGATCATTTGAACAAAATCAAAGTGAAGCAAAAATAAGAGAACCAAATAAAAAAGCTAAAAGAATCAATAAAATAGAAACCATAAAAACTTATAATTAAAAGAAACCCAGAATCAAATAATAACCAAGAAACAAAATGAATCCTAACCGAAAAGTGAAATCAAAGTAGAAATTAACCGAAAAGTTATAAAATAAAGGTAGACCAAAACAAGATTAGATGTGTCAGGCACTGTCAGCCATATCAAATATAAAAAATTGAAGAAACAAGAACCAAAACTTACCAATTAAATATGCAAATTACGTTCACTGGAGATTACAGAAAAAAGTTGAGAGGGTAAAAGAGTTAAAAAGCGTTTGTATTAAACTGGTTACGTAATAATAGCATGATCATAAGTCATGTAAATTTCTCTCGGCCCAATGTTTCGGCCAGTTGCTCTTTTGGCGAGAACGGAGTATATGATGAGCATCCTATAAAATAGGATAAATAAATTAGAGATTTAAACATAAACCGAAATGAACAACAAATTGATCGTCACTTACTTCCCTTATGGCCAGTTTGATACCATTAAACCAATAAACCGTGACAGGCAGGTGTTCCACACTAACTTAGCATGCTCTTCGGCACAACAGAGAGTTGTATAATAAAGCAAAATCTGCATCATCAACGATTACGTGACTAGTTGTGATCACGTTAATTCGGAAATTGGCAATTTTTTGTCGCACAAGCACAATATAATATGATCGTATCACTTGAGTAACTAGTAACTTGAAAATTGACAGATCCTTTCTATACATAGTTATATCATCTATTCTAACGGCACGTTTTAATTGTCGCACCAAAATGATCATCATTCCAATATCCCCTCAGTCCCCAAAAAATGTCGGCTAAATATTTTTGTTCACATAAACCTATTATTTCTAGACTGGGATTTTCTTGTCATCTATTCTCTGAAGTTACAAAAAAATTTCCTCAGACACTTTTTTGGTCGTATATGAAACTTAATACCACTAGAGTATTGTTTTTGCTCTGTTTCTTTAACACCAGTGTGGAAACAAAGAAGCAAATTTAAATAAGTAAACAACGAGGATCATCTACAACAATTTAGAAAGTAAGAAAGACTATTTACTATTATTTTACTATTTTATTTTCCGGTTTCTTTTGTTTTCTTGTCAGCATTAACACATAATTTACTTTATTTAGTTATTAAAAATAACTATATAGTTTGTTGACTTTGGGACTGCGCCACATAGGAAAGACGAGGGGAAAAAAGCGAAAAAGCCCGATATTTAAATGGTTTTTTTTTTCCGGCGCAGCGGAAATTTTTGTTTGATGTACATTTGAAAGGGTATGCACAAATCCAAATAATGCAAATCCAAATAATGCAAATCGCCAAATATGGAAGTCGATAATGTATATGCTGCACCACCTCTAATTAATATGGTGAAGTTAATTTTGAATTTATGATACTGTAGCAGCTGCATCTCGAAGATAGTGATACAAAAGGGATAAAAATATTGTTGGATGGCGAGGTATCACAGATAATTTATTATTATGATCATCGAGAATTTAAGAATCTTTCTAAGACTATCGGCTTTGGAGGTTCTGCTTCGGTTTACACCGCGAAATGGATGGAAACAACAACAACATATGCAATTAAAAGATTTCGCAATAGTTCTAGGGATGATATTATTAATGAGGTTTGTTTTGTTTATGAGCATTTTTTTATTTGTAGATAAAATCTCACATTATTATTTTCTAGGTTTATTTAATGGGAAAAGTTAATTGTCACCCAAATATTATTAAAATTTGTGGAGTTACGACACTTGAAGGTAAAGATAATATTTTTTTTTTTATGTAAATAAATATGCTAGGAAAACAGTTACACATCCTAGAACCTGCTAGTTGAAAAACTATCGTTGTTGATATCTTCTCACCATTACTGTATACAGTAATATATTAGTAAGACTCCCATGTTTAAGTGCGAGTTACTGATAGTATCTGGTTTAGAAATGAAAAATCCAATATTCTCTGTCCAAACACTTATAAATACTGTATTTCTTTTTTAGGCGAAACAAATTATTCGCTCATCCTCGAATGTGCGGATAGTGGAACATTAGGAGAGTATTTAAGGGAAAACGCTGCAACTTTTAGATGGGAAGATCAATTAAAATTTGCAAATGATATCGCAAGTGCAGTTTTGTGTCTACATAGTCATCAAATTATCCATGGTGATCTTGTAAGTTATTACAGAATATTATATTTGCTTCCAATTTATGTTTTTTTATAATTAAAATATTTTTTATTTAGCATCCCGGTAATATTTTAATACATCAACATTCGATAAAAATAGCAGATTTCGGACGTTCACGTCTTCACGGATCGGTTATCAACAAAAAAGAAAAAGCATATGGCGTAATTCCTTACATGGATCCAAAAATTCTTAAAGACCATTCGTGTGATTTAACCGAAAAATCCGATATATATAGTCTAGGAGTATTATTCTGGGAATTAACAAGTCGTAAGTCGCCTTTTGATTTTGAAACAAAAAATAATTCCCCTTTCGAAATTATTAAAATCAAGTCGAACATCCTTGAGGGTATGAGAGAAAAACCTTCTCCAAGCACAAACCATAAATTTATTGCGCTGTATAAAAGTAAGTATGGAGTTATACTATGAATTTTTATCGTAATCTAATTTTAACTGTCGTTATTTATTTCAATAGAGTGTTGGCAACATGAACCAAATACAAGACCAGAAATTCGCCAAGTAATTTTAGAACTTGAAGAACTCAATAATAATGAACCTTTAGTTGTATCAGAAATTTTTAGTTCTGAAGAAATCGAAACAACATTAGAAATATCAGAAACACCAGAAAACGATGAAGTTAACGTACCAAGTTATGACTGTGACATAAACAAATATGAGTTATAGAATACTTAATTATGATGTATTTTTTATTCGTATCATTTGTAGACAACATGACTTAAATTATAGATTAATTTTCGTGGTTATCGTAAATATATCGTACAGTACAATGAAATAATGAGTAAAAAAAAAAATTCACTATATTAGTATTTGTTAGTCCTTTATTAATACGAAATCTGATATGGCCTGTCACCAAATTATCATATTCTCGTCAAAGGTCACAGGCAGTTAACGGAATACATTCTAAGTAATGAAATTTCTGTAGGTAACACTAGCCAATTAGGATTTATGTCATCGGTGTTATTTTCGTTTATTGCAGGAATACTATATCTATCAGTTTACCGTCATAACTCATGTCACATACATATATTTTCAGCTTTACTTCTTAAAATCATTTTGAATCAAAAAATGCAACCGAAGAAATCTACCTGATCATACAGTAAAAAATCGTACGCTAAAAATATTTCAGAAGAAAAATATTTCTCATTATGTTTAAGAAACTGACATTTTTTTTTGCGCAGAAGTTGACTGTAAACTTCAATTTCAACATGCTTGTTTTTAAATTCTGAATTATTCTTTGGTTAACATGTATTGACTCGAAAGAAATTCTAATTTCCGCTGATAGAACGTTAAGTTCGTGAACTTTGTTTCGTAAAGCTCTTATTTAAGCTTTGGTTGACTGAAAAACTGAAGGTGTAAATGATACCATTAAAAATTATGAATCTTTATTGCTTTAGTCTTAGATATTATACTGCCTCCCATGAGCATAGCGCAATAGTAGAAATGAATCTGTAGATTTAGCATAAGATTCAGTTCTTTTTTGTCCATCAATTTTTTTACCAACCGTAATCTCCGCTAAGGCAACAGTGTTTTCTAGAATATATTTTGGTTTAATGTCTTTGTTTCATCATAATTAATATCATAATAAATTATCGGGATAGCAAGTTCAAAAATTGACGGATATGAGTATTGGTCCACATCCATTGGTCGAAATTGTAAATTCACACTTTATTGCAATTGTCATAATTATTGAGCCTTCACGACTTTTATTTGTTGATGATAACATTCCAGATGCAAACGATAGTATTTTGTTTTCTTGATAATTTAATTAGTTAAGTGATACCGCTTTTATCACCAGCTGGCATATCATTGATTTCAACCGTTAAGTTTCTTTTCTGTACCTCATGTTCATTACTTGAAATTTTGTAATTAAAATGGTTGGAAAAAGCCAATAATCACCATAATTTTTGTTTACTTTGATAGCAGACTCCAATTTTTTTCATTCACTAGCATAAGGACCCTTGAGTATTTGCACAATAGGATGAACGGATGATGTCTTTCAATTCCGGGAGTTCCAGCAATCAACAATGTAGCTATCCATTCTTTGCTCACTCGCTTTCTATATCTTACACGAGATTTTGATCCTCATGAGGAATTTTTGACGATATTTTCTGTCCATAATTGTGCAACAATTTTGGCAAGTGAAGCGACTGCAGTAATTGCACAAGAATTTCGTAATAGGTGCTTTGGATTTAGGGCTTGGGTTGAAATTTATTTATAGAGGTATAAGACTTCATGAAAGAAGTTCTAATCAACTATAAAAATTGATTCGCATTTAAGTAGGAATTCCAAGTCACTAAACTTTTTCCATTCTCCTTGTTCGACATTTATATAGACGTAACGAAAATCAAGCCTCTTAATTACATTAATAATATTACTCCATTGTATTAATATAATTATCAAGATTAGTCTGTCTTGCAGAAATAAAAGCTTCTTTCTTTTAGCTTTTTAACAAATTTCAATACTTTTTTCGTATCAAAAGTATATTCCTGTGGCTCCAAATATAAAAATCACTTTATATAAAATTCAATAGCTCCATTATGAGTAATGGAACCTTTTCTACTTCTGTCTTCTTCTTGATTATTACTGGGAAGAATTATTCCCATTGTAATTTCATCCTTATCCACATTGAATAAATTCGTCAGCAGTAAAAGAATTTAATTTTCAAGATCATGCTTATCAATCAACTTTGAATCTCTTCCAAATTCCCTCATATGTGTAAGATAAACTTGAGTATCAGCACAGTCATCATCACGTCATGGTTATCAGTTATCGTCTCCATTATCATCTTTAGACAGAATATCCACCTTTAGCCAACAATTTTCAATGATAGTTTTTGTAAAACTATCCCATGCACGTGCAACGTATTTCATTAAAATTATTATTCATTAAAATTATCATATGCTTTAACTCGAATTTGTAAATATAGCTTTAGGTATTGTACCTAAAATAAACAACTAAGTATAAAATATTTTATATTTTTGATTAAATGTTCTTAGAGTTCAAAACCAATTCTGTACAATTTGAAGCTTACCTTGAAATTACATATATTACCTTGATCGCATGGTTGGAGGTGTGCAGTAGTGTTTGGAGGAAGAAATTTCAGAGTAATATTATAAACATTATTGACTAAAAGAAGAATGTTTCGACTTTGTGTTCTCGGTTCGACATTAATTCCAGATCAAAATCTGCATCCAACCTTTTTTTTTTTTTATTGATGTTTTTAAGAGCTCAGGAGGTTTTCATGTTTTGTGTATGAATAACGGACATAATTTTTTACTCCCGGTTGCATTGCAAGTAAGCGAAACAGTTACACGGTCTTTTGACTGTTTTGTTCAGAAATTTGACCGTCAAAAATCGTACGACTAGGTTACATTTTCCAAAAAGACTTGTTTTATCACATCACAGTTAAAGATGTCTTTACAGTAGCTCCGACTACGAAGACCGAGGCCAAGGGAACCTATGGTATTTCCTAATTCATCCAATTTTTAATTATATATTACCTTAGAATAAGGTTAACGCATTAACTGTTTTTTAAAAATTCCACGAATTCTTCACGCATTGTATCAAGGTCATTTGCAGCTTCTCCATGCATAATGTATTTCTTAAGGTTATGTCGCTTTTTGAGATTGTCAACCCATCCATTCCTTTAAATTTATCTTCTTTACACAAAAAAGCGAGCTTCAAGGTCTTACTTGAAAGAATATTATTATTGATGATAAAACCAGCTGCATTTCCACCCAAAATGTTAAAGCATCTTCATTATAGAAAAAGTAATCCTTTTTCGCGTCGCAAGCCAGCTTGATGTGAATCAAGATCCACAGCAAGCCAACGGTCCTCTTCTATTAAAATATCAATAATCATTCCTTCCCTAACCTCATAATTATTAGCTAGTTCTTTGTTTTAAGGAAGGAGTAGAATTTTTTTTTCAAACAAATTTCTTTTTTTCTTTTGTGCTGCTGTAAGAGATTTACGTTTCCTAGGGACTTCATTAAGTTGTTTATTACAGAGTTTTACAGGTTTGGCTTTCGGTATTGTTAAAAGACAGCCGGAGCAAAAAAAAAAATGTAAAATAAAATATGAAGCATGAACACATCCATTATTTATTAATTTTGGCAAAATGCGCATGTTGGAGTCATATCATGCGCATGATGCACGTGATTTCATGATGCGCATGTGCATAACAGCATAACAGCATAAATAGTTATAATAATCATTGTAAAAACGCGCACAAATTATTTGATTATATTTCATCATGTGCATGATAAATCGCATTTTGCCCATCTCTATATATGGCTACTACATTGAAAGTGTTTCGCAAAAATTCTTCGGTATATTCATAAAAATTCAAAAAAAAAATCCAGTATAAAAGGATCGTTTTATATATGCATGTTCGCACACCTTACTTCGTTAAACGTTGTACGGAATTTAATTAGTAAAGTTCGGTTCAAAACCCGTATCACGCTGGAGATGTGTTATTCTCTTATTCGTTATTTCAAAATTCGTTATAAAAAGTATACTTTATTTAATGAAATAAATGTTGCCGGAAACAGCAACTAATACATTATTACATAGTAAAGTCTGTTCTACTAAAAGAAAACTTTACTAAAGTTCTCAAGATCAAATGCGATCGAGGGTGTCTTTGTGTCTCTTTCGGTAATCCGATTAATCCTTGTGACTGAGACGATGACGTCTGGGACACCCATCTGGTTCTCCGCCCTTTGACAAATAAAAGGAAGATTAAATTGATACTAAAGAATCTAAAAACGAGAGATTAGCCTTCATTCATACCATGGTATGTTTACATGTATTTGATCGACCCACGCTCCAATGGCGTTGCCATTTGGAAACGTAAATACTATGTTATTATAATTTGTCGCGCCATTTTCTGTAAGATTTGCGATAATTGTAGCCTTGTCTTGATTTGCAACACCATTTCGAAGTCCTGGTGCAGTCGCAACATCATTAAACCCTGCCAAATTCCATTCAAATACGAGGGCTGGCATGTTTTTGTCTTTTTTCAAAGCTCGGAGGACCAAAATGGCCGTGTCGTGATTATTAAGGAATGGAGGGAGGTTTTCAGGTGCTAAAAAAAAAGAATATTGATCAATATATACGAACATAAGCAATTTAACTGCTAACTTTGTAATCTTGTTTTTTTGAACTGTATATAATTAATAGTTATTGAAAAGCTCAAAATTTTACTGAGTTGATAAAAAACATACCTTTATCGCAAATACATCTGAACGGGTTTGACATACTTGCGAAATGAAGGAAAAATAGTTGAAGTATTTAAATATTTAATAAAATATTTTTATTAAAATATTTTTAAAAAATATTTAATCAAAGTATTTTTATTAAAATATTTTTAAAAAATATTTAATCAAAGTATTTTTATCAATATTATTTTCATAAAATTGATGGTGATTTCCGCCGTAGAAAATTATTTATTATGCTGCATATTGTGCGAGCTTACATAATGTACATACGGTAATGGTTACAATTAAAACCCTATAACAAACTTATAATCCTTTTGAAGTATAAAAAAGTTTTTACTACGAACAATTATCATTTATCAAGACGCGGTTTATGAACTTTATAAAATTATTCTGACACTCTAGTTAAACAATAACTTCATAATAATCTCCAATTTCCAATTTATTCGAGATTTCAACATAAGTACCAGTTACATTGTTGATACTAAAGGTTGTGGCGTAAGAAATTATGAGAACAGTTTAGGCGAAACTTACGAATGTTTCATTCTCAAATAGTAGCATCAAAATTAATCATCCATCCTGCGCTTATATCTTGTATTGTGGTCGAACGCAAAAAAATTATGCAATTTATTTCATTGTTTACTCACATTGTGTTTTATCCTTTGCTACATGAGAATGTTGTGGACGTGTAAAATGTATTATGTATATCGGAAAATAAAATATTATTTTAATAATAAGAGACCAAATTAAATTTCTTTACACAGTATATTAATAAAATGGATAAAAAACGGATTAAACCTTTGTGTTTCACCATTACCACAATATAAATTTGAAGAATACGAACAGCACAGCCTTATATATATAATTAACCCAGCCCTGTAATTGGATCAACCAAACAACAAAATTATTCACGTGGAAAAATGTGACTTAGTCTTACCTCAAAAAAGATTCTTTTGATTGAGAAGAAAAGTTATATTCTAATGGCGTCATATTTCTCCTTTAATATACCGAATTTACTTTCTACTTTACTATCTACTCACTGTTCGTTCAAACCTCTACATACGGTTTTGATTTGGGTAACGTAAGTCAACAGTTTTATAACGGAGGCTGGCGCTCCAAGGAATTTTATGAAATTGACGAACATGTTATAAATAATCTAAGGATATAGCTTTTTTTTTGGTAATTTCCCTAAATATTTGTCCCCGCCCTATCAGTTGTGATTTTTCTCCCCTATTTAAAATACAAGTTACGAACTTCAAGTGCACAAACACGCTTAGTAAATTTTTATTGAGTATATCATATAAAATAATGTAATTTTTTATAAATTAGATGATTGTTAAACTATAAGGCTATATCAATATTGTTCGAGGTGGATTGTTTACTTTATAGAGTATGATCGAACATACCACTGGTGAAAGTGAAAGAATTAATGATTTAATTAATAAGTGTAAATTATTGATTTTAAAAACCATTCAATTCTAGAAACTCATGAAAAACTTGAAACAATAGCAGAAGATCTAAAGATCATCTCAATGTTAATATTCCTTCAAAAGATGTAAGAAGAAAAAAATAATTTCAGTGATATAAACTGCTGTATAAAGAAAATTATAAAAAATTTCGCTCACATCTTACATTAAATGTAAAATTATAAAAAAAAAATTTGCAATTTAACGCAGAATAAAGCCTTTATAATCAATAATTTTAGATGTTGATATATTATTAAATTTATAAGAAATAGGAATAGTTTGCATCAATGAGTAGGCGAAAGGAATTATTCGAGCTCTAACTATAAAACGAGAGTTCCTACATGCTCACTACTCCGTATTGTTATCTAAGTTCTCATCGACTATTTTTATTTTACTTCGTGCTAAATGTAAATTTAGAAAATAATTCATAGAAATTCTATTTTAATTTCAAACAGTAGTAAGTTTAAAGAGTATGTTCTTCAGTTTATCAAACAAAAATCAAATTAAAGTTAGAAAAAATAAAATTTAGATCAAAATAATAAATGACATGAAACATATTTCCGCTTCTTTTTCTTTCTTTTCACGAATATAATTTTTTCCTTACAAGGAAATTAAATATGTTTGATCAGACCATTTAACCAAATTTGTATTTAATTTTAAGGAATTCCTTTGATTTTATTCGTATAATCAATCGTATTCACATATTCTCCAATTAATGCCGGCAATTAGGGATTTATGAATTTCCTAGTAAATCCTTGCCAAATTTTGATTATCTTGAAACATTGGATGTCGTGTAAATTTTGTTGATCATCACTTGAAACAGACATTACAAATACCCGAAATATCTAAAAAAAATAAGAACAGAAATTTCTATATCACCATGAAAACCATCTTCTCTACCTTTATCATTAGTATAATCACGAGCCTAGTGCTTAGCTTAGCTTGGATGCCGGTCATCGAAAGTAAGCATTTCCTAAAATTAAAATTAATCAAATTTGTGAATATTTTTTTTTTTTTTTTTTCGGACCACTCATCTTGAAAAATTATTTTCATTACATAGCTTGCTCAATAGGTGAAGGAAAACGTGATTGCCATTCAGGCTTCTCTTGTAGCTCTAACAACGATTGCATATTCAAGAATTGTGAAAATTTCGTCTGCGTGCGCAATTTGTCTGGTGGATGTAAAGTTGGAGGCCAGAAAAAAAATTGTAAACTCGGTGATCCCTGTGTGACTAGTGATGACTGCCAAACACCTGGCTGTGAAGCTAACGACAAGGGAGATTCTTTTTGTGTTTGATCATAGATGATGACTTTTTACTGAATGTATATGTAAATTCTTTATAATGTTGCATAAATTTGCACAGATTAAAGTGTAATTGATCAACTTGGCAGCGATTTTTTTTAAAAAAAATATGTACTTTAATTTTAGTTCATCTCTCAGAAAAGAGACCAATTTGTACTTTATGTATATTATTTAAACCTACCTAAAATACTATCTATCATCATTGGTCCAACTTTCATATAATATCACTGCGGACGAGGAAAAGCTTGACAATCAGATAAACCCTTACTGAAATTCCTTACCTAAATTATTACGAAAAAGATTATTATGTACTCTCCACTGTATTTTCTGATTTATTTGCGAAAATTATATTTAATAAATAAAAAATGTAATTATCTTGTGTTTCACTTCTCCTTCAAGATATTATATTCTTATTGTAGTTTAGAAATCTTATGGATAACGCGAGTTAATGAAATTAATATTATTCATTTTCTTAACATTTTTAAAAATATTACAAGCAAATATTATATGTATGTTTTTACGTAAGGTTTTCTTAATAAAACACGCCACGAGTAAATTTAAAACTGAATTGAATTATTTAAAAGGATATAGATTGATACGCGAATTTATCAATAAGGTTCTTTATTGAAATACTTTTACAGAAAGACGTAAAATAATATTAATTAATTAACTATAAATAATACATTACATACTATTACAAAATAAATTAAATATGATAAATTAAAGTACATTCACAATGTAAATATAAGAAAATTTATGACAATATAACAATATAAGCAAGGAATAATAAAAATAAAATCGTTCTAGCGGATCACACATCTGCCGTCTGAAGAACAAGTGGAGCCTTTAATGCAGCAAGCACCGTTACTGCAAATTTTGGCGTTGGAAGGGCATGGAACGTTGCATTTGTTATTACGTAAGCATTTCGTGCCTGTAGGGCAGCATCCGGACATATCAGGACATGCTTTAAAATTGTTTGGACATTGAAGCCGTCTAGACACTAAAGTTCCGGTTTTTGTTACTTGAGAAATATTTGATTCTCTTTTAAAATTAGTTGGTGTAGCGGAAGTGAAAGCAATGAAGGCAACAATTGCAAGAACAAGAATTAAAAAAAGTTTTTTAATCATTTTGGAAGTAGTTGAGATTGAAATGATGTCTTTTTTTCAATTATTGTTTTGTTTTTTTTTTTCAGAATGTGGAATTAGGGAAGTTCAATACGCTTATTTATAGATAAATCGTTCAATATTTGAAAGTTAGATGCTAATTTGAAAAATGTTTATAATGTTAATGTTGCATCGCAGAAATATTTACACAAAAATTCTACAGAAATGTTTTTTTCTTTCTTTTTCTTTCTCTTGTCTCTTGTTTGATGGAATAATCTAACTCCTTGTTCTTTCAAAAAGAAGATTATTGAATGAAATCCCTCGAACCCACCGATTAATATGGTTAGATATAATTTTATTTTTCATTCGCGTCTCGCATTTTTATTATGATCACCAATCCAATCGTCGAATTAATTTCCATATAGGAATAACGCGGGATTAATATTTAAATACGCAAGAAAAGTTACAAGGAATTTCTGCGGAATTTCCATGTGTGAAATAATCATTCTTCAAGTTAAAAAAAAGGAAATTAAATTCGGAGTGCTCCGATTTTCATATTTTTCCAAATTCAGTAAATTTAGTTCAAATTCATTTTGTTTTGCTATATTTGTTGTAAGTTACTGTACATGAGATTATGAGTGCATTAGATCCAAATCCAAGATTCGTTAGACGGAATTAAAAACTCCGGAAGCTAATTAATTAAAATTTTCCAAATTAATAGCGCTTTGTTTCTTATTAACCAATTACAGTCACTTTACGTTATATACAATTAGAACTATGATCGACATGATTGAAAAATGACAAAAATATATTTGCTTCATTCATAATATTCACCATGTCTTTTTATTGGTCAATCATTTTGAAAAAAGATAATATGGTTACAATGGACCGGGAACCTGTTGTTAAGTCCAGACTAAACCACTAAATTTATTGTATGACACTGCCTATAGTACCGCGAGTATTTTACGGGTACTAGTAATACTAGAAGATAATAATCATCACTAAAATTAGACAATTTAAAAGTTAATCTGTATATAACATTTGCTGTATTCAAGACGAGTATTTACATGCAAAAAGAGAAATACTATAGACAATGCTATACTTTCTATTCCAATCACGGATAAAGACCAGAGTCGGCGGGTTTAAAACATTTTCTTTTGATATTTCAAAATTTGTATTGTTCCTTTAAGCAAATTACAATAAATATAAGTAGAACTTTAATAAACTAATCAAGAAAAAGATATATTGGATATTCTCTAGTATTAATATTACCTAGGCTTCCGTCTTTCTGTCGTAAATTCTGTTGTAAATTCTATGTTTTTATTTCCGTAATGTACAGTATATTGACACTAATTAGAAGTATCATATACTGTATAAAGTATATTTGCTATATCCATGGATTAGAACAGATTTAAATGTCTTTCCGTAATTGTTAGTTGCTGTTTTAATGTAAAATGTTAATTAAAATCAATCATACGAATATCAAATGATTACACAAATATCGAAGGGAATGTCGCCTATTTCAATATTTTCCAAATCATAATTGTAATTTCCTAAATATCAACATTTTATAACATAATAACACCAATTAATGTTAATGCTCTGTCATTATTTGCTTCACCACTATAGCCAATAATATATTAGACATAAAACGAAAGAAAAAAATTATACATAAGTCCATAACGATAATAAAATAGAAAATGTCTGCGAATTTATTTAGTTAATGATAACAATGGACTCATGTCATCAGTGAGTGACCGGTGACTTTTTTACCTTAGAAAATGCGTTTTTATCGTTCTTAGCATTACCACTAAAAGATTTTTTTGATACATTTTATATTTTCGGAAGGTCATCTATTACCCTCTGCGGTTCGAACGATCTGACCGGTTAGGATCTTATTCTGATGGTAAATAAATTACTGTAAAAAGCCACTAACAATATTTATTTTATCACTTGCAGTCAAAGGCTAGTCGCGACTTTTCAAAAGTACTAAAACGTCTTTTCCTGTGCATCCGAAATCCTCCAAAATGTGCACTTGAGGAGACTGTTACAGTGAATATAGGACCATAGAAAACACAAAGAAGCCATTTTTTCACATTCCATTTCATAACGTTTGTTGACTTTTTAAAATTTTTCAATATATAATATATATTGCAGTCGGATACTTATGTCCGATACTGTACTGTAATTGAAAAATAAGTTAATTAATGAGTTTAGAAAGATGTTCATTGAAATTTGGTTATTTATTCATTTGTTCTCTATAAATAAGATTTAATGATTTATGGTAAATAAATTTATATAACACATTTTTTTTCATTATTCATACAATCATGCAATAATAATTACCCAATCACAATTATTCGTCAATTTGATTATCTGAATCTCGATCTGAATTTTATATAAAAAGAAGTTTCTTTTGACAACTGTAATGATAATAATACTCTCGCATAATACTCCCGCTATTATCGGCCATATATAATCTTTTTATAATTTGGCAGTATTATTACCATTCATACATATTTTTCTCAATAAACTTAATTAATCCAAACAGATTATTAACAACAATGCGACTATTTCAGATAGTATTATCATGTATACTTTTGTTGCAACTATTTTATTATTCATTCATATTTTATTGAATAAATTCAATTAAATAATTAAAAAATCCAATTCCAACAATGTTTGATATTATTTAAATGATTGAATGGATCCTCATTTGTTTTCAATTCATTTTTTTTTTTTTTTTTTGAAAATTTTACATCGCAATGATAATGTTTTATTTTGGGTTACTCATAGTAAATTCTTTCAAAAATAATTTCATCTTGGCTCAGATTTCTATGCTTTATTATTTCGAACATAATCTCAAGTTTTCATTTCATCCTTTAATAGTTAATTTTTTATAATGACAATTGATATTTTGAATTTTATCTTTCGATGACTATAATAGTTTATAATTTATTACTGTACCTAACCGGAAAGTTTTATTATATACAATTATTGATCCATTAAGAAAATATAAAAATAGTATCATATACTGTATGATGAAGAATTAGTACCGTAATAGATATGTATTTATTATATTATTTTCAATTATTTTTTCAATTCTTTTAATTCGAAATTTCGGGATTTTATGTATTTTACATATTATTATTATTATCAAAAACGACATATCTTGATATGTGTATTAATAAACCTCATAATATTTTTATACTCTACTAATGCATGATATTTTGCATAAATTTTGGAAGTAATAATCGGTTTCCATCTAATAACTCGATCGTTAAAAGAACTTGCCAGCATAAAAGATAATCTAGAAAGGACGGGTGAATTATCTTGTTAGAAAATGTTTCCAATTCTTGTAAAAAATTACAAGGATGAAATCAAAAAGTTATATCAGCTTATAAGTCGCTCAATTTGTAATTCTGTATGTATTAAATTCACTCATTCGATTCAAAAATCTATGAAATTACAAGTTCGGGAAGTTAGGCATAGATAATACTCTAATATTTAGAAGCCGAATTAGGCTCTGTGGCCAAATAAAAAAAATATAAGATACATGCGGTAATTACTATGAGAATTATACTTATTTTTGATCCAAATCTTGTTTGATCTTTAGTGCAAGAGAAATTGTTAACTTTCAATTTTTTTATGTATGCCCGTGCTTGTCTACAGGAATATTCTAGAAACTTCATGTAGATCTCCACATGGAAAAAACGAGAACATTCTGAATAAAACAGATCATATCTTTATTTCGGACATTCCTAATTGGTTTTAATTCTTCATACTTTCCTTTATTCAACTTGTGCCTTTATTCAACTTACCTTTATTCAACTTACCTTTATTCAATATGAGCAATATGAGTAACTGGAAGAATGTAAATAACTGGTAAGAATCCATATTTGTTCCCTTGAATTTGTAAGGTAAAAAGAAAATGCGGTATTAATTTATTTTGTTCTTATTTCAGGCATTGGTAAGTATTCAAACAGAATATATACGCAAAAATAAAAGAACAGAACTATAGTGATCCTTTGATTCAATTCATAGGACCAGCAAAAATTGCTTGAACTGGGCTAAAGAATATTTGAAAGAACAATCGGCCAACCTTATAGCCGAAGATAACGGAATCTGTGTTCAAATTAATGATTTGACAGAATGCTCGGGTGATGCCGAATTAAATCAAAGAAAAGGAAAATTGATACCTATTATTGATTTAAATCTAGAACTAACTTGGTCGGGTAAATAAATTTCTTTTAATAACTTTAAATTAAATAAAATTTACCTAATGCTTAGTTATAATTTCATAGGCAATACTTCGGATGATAACGAGGCTAAGGGTACAATTAAGATCCCTGAACTAGATTCTGGATCAGAAGGAGACTTTGATGTAACTTAGAATTGAATTTTTTTCATCGTAAAATTATGTGTCTTTAAAAATAACTTTCCCTACATTTTAACATATTCTTTGTTCTAGTTTGAAATCACGGTTGAGGAAGAAAATGATTCAAAAAGGCCAATTAAGGAAGTTGTACGCACGCACTTGATTCCCTTGTTGAAAGAGCAGTTTAAGAATCTCGGAAATGATATGGTTGAAAGTACGTCAAATTTAAAGTTTATAGTAGATTGTATCTCGAAAAAAAAATTAATTAGTGTACTTTTGTTAGCTCATAGTAAAGATGTTAAGATTGAATCTTCTCAACTTGGACCTGCAACTCCTCCAAGGGCAGTTACGCCCATTGAACCTTCCCAAATTCATACGGCATCAACCCCTCCTCGACCTGCAACACCTACTACATCTAATTCGGATACCGTCAAGTCTTCAGCGCAAAAAATTATTAATACAACTAATATTAGTGAAGTTGTTGAATTACAAACTTCGGCAGATCAAATTTACGAAACGTTGCTTGATCCTGGTCGTGTTGCAGCTTGGACAAGATCTAGACCGGATATATTTAGACATGTTGGAAGCGTATTTAGTTTATTTGATGGGAATGTTACCGGAACTATGGTGGAATTAGTAAGTAACGATTCTTTCAAAGATTAGCTTTCGTTATTATAATTAATAATTTAATATTTTTTTTTTTTTTTTTTTTTTTAAGGTTCAAAACGAAAAGATTGTACAGACATGGCGTTTAAAAACTTGGCCAGAAGGTATAATTTTTGATATTTAGATCATCCTGTTTTATTTGAACTTAACTATCAATATTCGTGTCAATAGGACATTTTTCGACGGTTACTATTAAATTTGAACAAGCAAGCGATTTCACTCGTGTTCATATTAATCAAGAAGGGGTTCCTATTGGAGAAGTAGATGCAGTTCGTAATAACTGGCAATCATATTATTGGAATCCTATTAAAAATGTTTTCGGGTATGGATCAATATCATCATCGTCATCAATTCCACTGAAATCTAAAAATAAATCATCCAAGCCTCGTAAAAATAGACGGGGTAGCGGTGAGAAAAAAAATAGTAATAGTTCGGGTGGTGGTGTTGGTAGTAGTGTATTTGCGGTTGCTATTGTACTGACTGCTATTGTTTTGGGATACGTGTTTTTGTCACGTTCTTCTACTACGTAGATATGGAGCACTTATATAATTCTATAAGAAAAATCGAAGAAAGGAGGAATTCATTGGAACCTATGGTAAATAATTTGACGGTAACTTTTTTGGATCTCGACCATTTCTCAATTCCCTTATACTCGTAAAAAAAATTTTATATAATATTACTCGGTAATTATTGTTAAAATTAGAAAAAAAAATTAGCTTATTCGTAATTCTGCCAAAAATAAATGATAAATTATCCTTAACATTAAGTTTCTGGACAATAAATAATAATTAGAAGAGAAAGAAAGTATCAATTCGGTTCTCTATATTAATTAGTTTGTAATGTATTCTGCTATTTTCAGCAGAACTTCAAAAGTTTTATTAAAAGGTTATTTTTTTTTTTTCTTAAAGTAAATTAATATATCTAATGCAAAAAAAAAGGTATTGGAATAAATATTCATTTAATATTAAAGTATTACGATCGGTTAAGAGAAGCAATAGATTCCTTAATAATAAGAAATATGATAAATTAGGAGTAGCTGGAAAATAGATTATAAATAGTCTTTAAAGATAAATGTTACCTGAGCTGCATCTCGTGTGACACGTTTGAATTTTTGTACTTCCTCCCAACAATCGAGGGTTCGTGAACTGTTATTCCTATTAAAAGATTCATTAGATTTCGCTTCATTAAAACATATTCTAAAACTTATATATTTACTTGTAACAAGATATCACAGCCCGTTGTTGTTCAATTATTTCAGATGAAACACTACTTTTATATTTTCTAATAAAAAAAAAACAAATTTTATATTAAAGATATATATATATTAAAGAATCGAACACAGATAGTACCTTTCAATTCTTTCAATCAATTCATTTATATCATGTTCGGTAGAAGCAGAACTAGCACCACTATCAGTAAGTGAAATTTTCTGTCTAAATAGTTCTTCTTGAACACGTTGAGCAACTTCATCTTCTCTTTCACGAATTCGTTTTAATTCATCGTCTACACGTACTTTAATTATATTTTCCAATTCTTCATTAAGTACTTTACCATCACCTGAATAAGTAGTTGGTTGTGATATTTCTTGTTTGGCATGCTTCTATTTAAAGTGATAAAAATTAATGTGCGTGAAGTATTTTAATCTTAAACAATTAAGATATTTACCGCTCTCTCTCTCTCTCGTTGTAATTTTTCAACTAATCCACGAGAAAACTATATCAAAAAGAATCTTATCAAAGGAATTTTTATGTTTTAGCCGTAATTATGTAACAGTTCGTTTTACATACCCTAATATTAGACTCGTTATAAATTGTAATAGGAGTTTCTAATGATTGTGAGGCCCCCATGTCTTCAAGAATATACTGCAATTGCAGGAAAATGAATATAAAATAAATTTTTACATCTATGATCTACAAATTGATCTACAAATTGATTTACAGTAAATTTTTAAAATTGACCAAGATCGACAGATTTATAAAAAACACTCACTTTTCGCTTTTTACAGTTACGTAATGTCTAAACAATACAAACAAACTGAAGAGTATATTGATGTAGACGATGAAATTCAAAATACTGCTCAACAAACTGGTTATTCCTGGGAGGAAGAATATAAACGCAGTTGGGATGTGCTACAGGAAGACGAGGATGGCAGTTTGAAACGAACTGTTGAAAATCTTCAGCATCGTATGAAGAGAAAAAAGTAAGTGATACCAATTTTTTTTTATTTTTTCTTACTTTTTAATAATTGAGTCAATAACTTCTTTTTAGACTTTTTCGAGATACATCAACTATTCGACGTGGGATAATAAGACATATGTTTTTGATAATAGATCTTTCAGAAGCAATGATGGAGAAAGATCTTCGCCCATCTCGACTAGAACTAACTCTTTCATATGCCGAGCAATTTATTTTAGAATATTTTGATCAGAATCCAATTTCTCAACTTGGTATAATTGTAACAAAGGGTGGCATTGCGGAAAAACTTACCGATCTGACTGGTAACAAGCCAGCCTCTTACTTTGTAATATTGATGATAAATTATAGTCAAAAATAAACTTTCATTCCCATTTTCCATTAAATTAATATTTTAATTTTAACTTTATATAGGTAATCCAATGGATAATATACGAGTTTTAAAAAACAAGAAAAATACAGATACTGATGGGGAACCGTCTTTACAGAATTCTTTACAGATGGCAAGATCAACTTTGATGTAAATAATATATTATTTATATTTTAAAATTAATATGTTTATTTATTCATTTAATGATCTAAATTTGTTTAGTCATGTTCCAGCTCATGGATCGCGAGAAATGCTGATAATTATGGGATCTCTTACAACTTGCGATCCGGGTGACATATACGATACGATAGATAGTTTAGTAAGTGAAAACATTCGTGTCTCAGTAGTTGGGTTAGCTGCTGAGGTACAGATATGTAAACTCATGTGTAAAAAAACAAAAGGTAGTACAAATTTGTTTTTTTTCTTCAAAAAAAACTTTTTATTCTCATTGTTATTCTCATTATTTATTTATAAAGATTATTTTTTTTAGGTACATATGGAGTGGTTCTAAATGAGGCACATTTCAAAGATTTGTTGTTTGAAATTATACCACCACCACCAGTTTCTGCTGCTCAAAACAAAGCCGAATTAGTTATAATGGGATTTCCAAGCAGCGTTACTGATTCAATGCCTTCACTTTGTGCATGGTATGAATTTCTTAATTTTGTCATATTATAAGGAAATTATTCAATAATTTTAACTATACTTAATTTTACTATATAGTCATTCAAAACCTACAACTAGCGGTTACATTTGTGCTCGATGTAATTCAAAGATTTGTGATTTGCCAACGGATTGTCCAGTGTGTGAACTTACACTTGTGTCAAGTCCACACTTGGCAAGATCGTATCATCATTTGTTTCCTATAGATAATTTTGTAGAAGTACCGTGGAATAGGTTAGATACTATAAATCTTTTAGTTTGTTTGCTATTTATCGTACATTTATTAATATATTTATTTTTATAGTGCATTTGCAACACATTGTTTCTCATGTCAAATGCCTTTTCCAAATCCAACGTCAACCTCATTAGGAGCGCGTGTTGCTCCTGATACAAGTGGACGATATAAGTGTAATAAATGCAATCAATATTTTTGTATTGACTGTGATGTTTTCGTTCATGAAGTTATTCACAATTGTCCAGGATGTCTGGCAACTACTTCAAGTCATTAATTAATAAATACCAACCGCCTTTCTTAAAAAAAAATATATATAATAATTTTATTAGTTATTATTTTGTTACAAATTTATATAATAGAAAATATTTTTTAAAAAATAGAATTATAGTTTTTTTTATATAGGGATTTGATTACGCGATTCTTAGAAAGTGTAAGATGAAAAAATTATTAGACTTTTGGCCAATTTGTTTTTTCAGCTTCCCGTTTTAAATTTTCTTTAAAGCTTCTCATAAATATTTCTGTACGTTTTGCACTTTCATTAATATAAGGTGAAGCTAATTTAACAATAAATGAAAAGGAACATGAAGTTATTTATTTCATTCAAATTATTAGAAATTGAACATTACAAATGTAACATTACATACCTTTTTCTGTCATTTTTGATATATGTGTATGTGTTTTCGTAGCAAACCTGTGAAAAGCTGGACTTTCTAATAACTTAATAATATTGAGAAATTGGTTAATACAGTTAAGAACAAGAAAAAACTTTGAACTAAATTTAAACTACCTTTTCAGTTATGTATCTTCTGGACCAATAATGAATTAATTGGGAAAACATTTTTTAAAAAAAGAAAGTATTATGTAAAAAAAATATTTAGATATCTTAAAACACATTACAAATTTAAATTGAACATTCGCACGTGTCTGTTAATCATGAAACGTCGAGCCAATCAAAATTTAGGCGGCACAAAATCACGTGGAGGCGAATGGACGAATGGTGAATGGTGATAAATCGATCCTACATACTTATAATAAAAGTTACTAATATACCTATTTTAATAGTAAAAAATTTGTTTTTTAATAATAAATTACATAAATTATCAGATCAGACTTGTATTGTAAAATTTTTCCAAAAACTTATATGTATAGTAAGTAAATAGAATTCTGTAATATTATTAAAGTTTTTTATAAATATATATATATATTTGGTTATTTTACAATTATTTAAAAGTTAGGAGATTTTAAATACTCTTTTTAATTTTATAAATGAAAATATAACATTATTAATTTCAAAAGAATAAATTAATTTTTCTGAAAAAATATACTTTAATTAAATAAGTCAAAGATAACATTTTAAAATAATATTTAGTAAATAAATTAGTATAGCTAATTGCATTATGCTATATAAGGATGAGAACTTTGATTTTCACCAAATATAAAAAATTAATTATTACATTTAAAGTAATATAATTGGTAAATATAATAAAATCATTTAGATTTAATAGTAAATTTGCATTCTTCTATCCATCCTAAAACCTGATTAATAATTACTTCTGCCTGATCCAATTCAGCTTTTAACCATTCAATATTTGCTTCTTTATGTTTTGTTGAATCTTCAGTCATTAATAATGAATTTAATGCCAATTTAACATTCTCAGAATGAATATGCCTAAAAAAAAATCCCATGAATTTTAGTAAATATCATAAATATCATAAAAAAATCAATATAAAATATTAAATTAATATCAACAAACTTTAAATCATCCTCCAAATTCAAACAACTTTCAAGTTTCACATCATCTATAGAGCGATCACTAATTGTTTTTTGCAATTGATTTTTAATTTTATCCATTTTATCTTGAAGCTTAGTCAGTTCCACAACTATATCTACTGTCGAACCTTTCAGAAGCATATTATACGTGCGCACTATTTCTGCCCCTTGATGATTAATAGCATCTTTCCAGTAGGATTTGTTCCAGCAGAAATTTCTTGTATCATTGTAAATCTTATCTAGAATTTTGTCACGAACAAGTTGATTGGGTGTTTGTCGTAGTTCGTTAGTCATGCGAAACCAATATTGAATCCTTTTAACTGCTTTTAATGTTCGAGGATCTTCTTGAACCTGGCGAAACCAGACTTGAATTTTTGTGGTCACTTCTGAAACCTCTCTAGAAATTGTAAACCGTTGTTCATCATCCTCGTCGTCCTCACTATCATCATTATCATTATCATCATCCTCTTTACCAACAATAAAATCGGTATTTTGTACACTAACATCAGCTCGTTGTGATAAGAGTTTATTCGCTAAAGAAGTTTTTTCAGTAACTACTGATGATACAATCTTCCAAAGGGAAGAATGAAAACTCTCGACAGAGTTATATTTAAGCATCACACCACCAGACTTTTCCAAATCCTGAAATCTTGTTATGCCACCCCACTGATAATGGACTATAACTAGCGAATCACAGCCTGTTTCTTTGAGGTCATCTTTTAGAATGTTCACAAGGCGAAATATATTACTCTCCTCTAAGTATTTCTTAACCTTTCCAGAGTGTACTAGATCATTTTTAATTAGGCTTTTGAAAAGAGAAATGACTTTGAATGAAGAACTGGATTCATTTCGTCCAATGAGAACCAAGAGTCGTATCAATCGAAGGATAATTGTCAAGTAGTATCGTTCATCTTCACGAATCAACAATTCAAGAAGTTTTTGAATTTGTTCTATGGAATACCTAATCTCAGAACAATAATTATCTCTTCTGTAACAGTATTTAGTTTGAAGAACAAGCGGCTCTGCAGTGAATACATCAAAATAATTAACTAGATATGACCGAGGAAGGCAAAAATCGCAATACCCAGGACCAATTGCAAAAATCAAAGATACTCTAAACTCCATAAGAGATACAAGGTCACCAAAAGCATCCGTGCTATTTAAGTTGACTAATACATAATTATTTATCGCGCACTGAATAAATAGTTTTAATTGTGTGATAGCTTTGATTATGTAATTAGAATAAAGAAAGTAAAAGAATAATGAGAGTCGCTTTCCAACTGGAATTGCTTGATAATATCCATAGAAGTAACTGAAACCAACAGGTATATTTTCGGGATGTGAAAGTGTGATTCTTTTAGACATCTCCCGAGAAAAGTCTTCAATACCCCATTCATTCCGCAGTTGTTGAAAAACAAACATGCATTTTAACATGACCGCAAAGTCCCAGGGATCTTTAGACAGTTTAGATAACCATATCTTACGAGCAAGATCATTAAGCCCATTACACGCTTGATAAGTAAGGTTATCGATCATCATGTAAGTGACCTCTGAGCAACTTGTTTGCGGCGATTGATAGCGGAAATGAACCTTAATCAGATTTTCAGACCACCACCTTTGTATGCCACGAACTTCTACACTTTGCTCATCTTTAAGAAGTCTACGATGATACAACATATCCAATTGTCGTATAACAGTGTACTGGAGGCGCGCAAGTGTCGCGCGTTGATGCAGAACTGATGGAGTTGGTTCCACATGATAATATTGACAATTTAGCCTTAGACAGGATGTAAATTTGTGGCAGATATGAGAACTTATCTCACGAATTTCTCTACCCTTTTGGTTGACGTCCGAGATGAGCTCGAAGATATACGGTGCAAAGATTTTTAAGATCGTCTGGTGTATATCATCTATTTCGTAAACATGCCAATTATCAATATTTTCTACTGCATCTTCCATCTCACTTTTACACTGTCTGAAAGGATGTTCAGTTAAAATTTTCCGCTTATTTAAACGGGTTTTGTCATTACAAACTAAAAAAATTTTTTCGAAATCATTGTAGATTTCCGAAATGTTCCTGATATTGTGAGGTCTAGTCACGGCGCATATATAAGGAATGGACAATTCCCACAGTCTTATCAGGTATTGCAATCGTTCATGCCAGTATTCAGACTCATAATAAGATTGTGGGACTATTTTTAACCACATGTTTATCCCATGAAACTCTGTGTCAACCTTTTCATTCTCTTTGAAAAATTGTATGCATTTGCGAACTCTATCGAGATCATCACTTAAATAGGCGGAGTATAACTGTAACTCTCCTATTAAGATCTTCAACTTATCAGATCTTTTCGATGACTTTGACAATTTTACGATCTCATTCGCCTTTAAACAGAGACTTTTTAACTCCTCCAAAATACTTTGGTTCATGGTATCAGTTATTATATTAAGTATATTGGCTTTGCATAGATCCAAGAGACATTGTAACGCTTCAATAATATCCTTCTCGTCATTTGAACGAATGAACATATCGGCGGCCTCTTTGAACTTACCACGCAAGTGTAGTTCTTTGGCAGCATCTTGGAATTCACCACGCTCCTCACAAACCTTCAGAAGTTCTTCTGGTGCATGATCTCTCAAAAGCTCAATTTGCTCCTCATGAGTTGAAAGAATAGAAAGGGCCTCTTTGCTCATTACTTTATTATTTTCCCGACGATAATATATGTTGACAAAACGAGTAATACGGCGAAATATTTTCTCATCGATTCTTTCCCTATGTCTTATCACAATAATTTAGGTAAATATCAGACAACAAATAATAATAAGTCATGCTTTCGTAATAACATTAATTATACATGACAGGATGGACGGCACCAAATTGTATCATGACAATGAGCTTACCTCTGCATCAAATTGACCACTTCTTTATATAAACTACCATCTTTATAAGCAACAACAGCATCAGTGTACTTCTCTGCTTTTTCAAAACATTTACCCGCTTTATCAAACGCCTTGGCCTCCAGGTAACAATATGCAGCATCTTCAAACATATCCCATCTTTCATATACATCTCCAGCTTCTCTATTCATGCCAATGTCCTGGATATTAATAAATTATATTTGTAAGTATTTAACAAAAAAGGACTTTCAAAAATTAGATTATAAAATACCTTATAACATGAAGCTGCCTGAACCGGTCGTGAACACGTTTCGAAAGCTTTGGCGGCAGAAATGAAATTAGACTTGACATTTGCCTCATATGAATTACTTGCTAAGGATGACCTGGCAATCTTTTGAAGATTATACGCGTTGGCTAATTTAAACCCCATTTCATTCCCGCTTTTACTAAAGCATAATTTAGCCTTAAAGATAATAATTTTCATTACATTTTAGCTAAAACAGACTACTATTGCATTAACAATAATATTCTAAATAAAATGATTCTCACCAGTTCATACTGTCGCCGTTCAAAGAACAACTTTCCTTTTCGATTCCAATCGTGTGAACTACTCTTCTTTGCTAAGGTAGGTAAAGTATTGAGTTCCTCCAAACTCTGAATCACTTTGATCAATCCACTTTTATCCCAGCCATCTTCACCCCAGAATATTCGGATTGGTTCGCTCAACTCTGAATCTTCATCGAAAATCCAGAGGTGCTGCCTGGCCCTGGTTACTGCAACATAAAGATGTTTGAGTTCCGAAGAAAGGATATAATGCTTCTCGTGAGAAAAGGTCTGAATGCCTTTAGAATGGTTATCCAAAGCAGAGAGAATTAATCGCCACTACAGCAAATGTTACAGGAATGATTAGAATTAAGATAATACAACAAACGATACTATCATAATTAGTGTAATACTGTACCTTTTGACGTGCAGGTGAATGAGTAAAGAAATTATACAACAGGACATCATTAAACTCCATGCCTTTAGCCTCAAACACTGTCATCACAATTCCGACATTGCCCACACTCTTTTTAGCTTCTTCATTACGTACTATAATGACTTGTTCAGCACCAAATTCACTACAATTGGGCATACGCTCATCAACAGAAAAGACATCGAAAAGAAAGGTTTCAGCCTGAAATCCTTTGAAAACGATAGGCCGAGGACCACCAACCTCGCTTCGCTCACGTGAAAGATGATCAATGGAATCAGGAAAAAAGTGATGGATAAGATCAATCACCGATGATGCAAGCTGTAAAATTCCATTGTGAGAACGGTAGTTTATGTTTAATTCAAATTGTTTTGGTACCACAGTATTATTTTGATTGTGATTGATATTGGTCCGATCGAGTTCCCATTTATATATTAAGGTACTTAAGTCTATATTAGAATTATTAAAATTATGGGATTAGATGATGACAAGACACTATCCTATATTCTTTAAATGACATACTTTGAAATCGGAAAGAAGATCCTCGAGCAATACATTGTGCTATATCTCCGGCCATAAAAACGTTATCAACACGGTTAAAAAGCTTCAAAATAAGTGCTAAATCCATGATATGATTATCCTGACATTCGTCAACGTACACTTCATGAATATGTGGGTCTCCAAGTGCTTTAATTTTTGCTGCCCGTAAGATGGCTAATGTTCTAATATGAAAAATTAAGAAATTTATAAAATTCTATACAGAAGTAAAAAAAAAATTATATTTATTATCTGATCTTACAGATCCACAGAATCATAATCACGATTTCGCGCCTTCATCTTTTCATATCGCTCAAACAAATCATAAATCTCATCACGATTATAACGGAATACTGGGAATTTCCTAATGCTGATGGTCCGGTAGTCCTCTCTTGAAAGGTATTCTACATCGGGATCTGTACCCTTTAGAAATATTATTATTACTCTATTTTTCATTTTTAGTTTCGTTTTTTTTTTTTAAAAAAAAAGCTTATCTTTACATACTTTAATAACAAAGAACTCAGAAAAAACCAGCCCGGGATCCAGTTTCTTTCTATAATAATCACTGAAATGAAGCCAGTACTTATCATAAAAGAGATCATAGTCAACAAAGTGAAACCATGAATTTTTTGGTTGATTTGGAAGGGAATTAAGACTGAATTCTTCCTCCTCATCTTCAACGTCATCAACTTCCGCAATTGTTTTTTGCTGTTTCTGAATATCAATTCCATAAGTTACCAGCAGCATTCTGGTAAACTGCTTATAGGTAATAAATAATGGGAAATCTTTATCTGTCAGCTCACGGAATGAGCCTACTTCCTCTTCATCTCCTTCTTCAAAGTAAGAGTCATTATCATCAGTCTCTTCATTACTTCCTCCTTCCTCTTCTTTCTTTCTTACGTACTCATTAAAATCAGCCATTGACATCTTTTTCCCAGCAAACTCTGCTGACTCTCGCAACCGTTTAAAGTAGTCCTTTACTCGGCGGCAAAGATTTGGACTTACAGTGATGAATATTTGCCTTTTGTATGAATTCCCATTATTTTTACGCGAAGATGGTGTTTTACAAAGTTGGTTATTCAGATATGAAGCAACCAGTCTAAATACGATACATGTGGTCTTACCAGTTCCTAGAATTGATAAATTTTTAGGATAGTAAATAACAATTTTAACCTCTTTGCCTTTAGTTCACATAGTCTCTTTGCCCTTTACATAGTCTCTTTCCTTTTAGTTACAATTTCTAAAATCAGAATACTAACCTGACCGACCAATGATAATTGCTGACGTAGGATTGTTAATTATTTCATACTCAATCTTTGATACATTGAAAGTGAAACCAGATCCACCTAGGATAAGTGACTTAAATAAATTCTGAAAATAAAATATCATCAAAACGCGTTTTAATTTAAATATTTATTTAGATAATGATAATCGTATTAAATTCATAATTTTACCTGTGATAAAGGAATAAACTTATTTGTAACAAGCATTTTGTGGACCTCTAGCAAATTCTCATTATCCATCTCGGTACCACTCATCCCGTCATTAGTGGACCTTGTTCCTTCATTATCATCAAAATTCTTTGGTAAAATGATACCATTGCATGGCTTTTGAATTTCGTATCGATAATTGTTTTCAGGAGCGTAAACCTTATGAACACTTTTAAGGTTAACTAATATCTTATCAATCTGATTCTGATCTTTTGTGATGGACCAAATTTTCACAAGTTGCGTAAGCGAATAACTGCGAATAGAAAATCCATAATCAATCTGCCAAATAATCTTTAGGCCTTTATTATCAGAAAGTTCCACTTCATAGACAGGTATATCGTGAGGAGACTTTTTATTTTGAAGTTTATGTTTGTCCCATTCACCAGATGATATACGCCCAAGTACTTTCATGACTGCTTTAGTTACTAAAGGAGATTCCAATCTTTGCATGTCTTTAACAGTATCTTCACTAAGTAGGATGTCCCATGGCCCAAGTTTGTCTGAATCATCGAATTCGAATGGAAGACGGAAATTTTGTTTAAATTCATTTTCGACATCTGCAGTCTTTTCTTCTTCCATTAAATGAGAATATTTTTCAGGAGAAAAATTAATGAGGGCTAGTTTGTGACAATATTCACAAGGCCAAAATCCTATCCAATCCTAAGTGAGGTTAAATTGTGGATTATTCAATCCGTTATTGTCATCAAAAAATATTAAATATTCTTTGAATTGATAATAGTCGCACTTACTTTAAAGGAATTTATCTTTCGCTTCTCAAGATCACGTGAAAATTTGGGCAAATCTGATAGCTTTCGAGGAGTTTCCATGCCTAATAATATGATATATTTTTCATCTTTGGCTAAAAATTTTAACTCGTCGGAGTTACTGACCGATCGTTTTCTGTTACCGATTTTCTCATAATTAAGCTCAACCATCTCAAGTAAATTTGGTGGTAGAGAGTTTCTTTCGAAGTTTTTGGTATTCTGATGATTTTTTAGAGATTCTAACAAAGATGCGCAAGCCTTATAAATAGAAACCCCATCTGAAAGCTTAGATGAAGCGTTCTTGTGATTTGAGCATTTTTTTAGAAGAGAAGCAGCCATATCCACCGCATTCAACAGATCGTTTTGTTCAATTTCATTGATCATGTTGAACTCAAAAAGAATACGTTTAAGACAGTAGCGACCGGAAGATTCCGATAACAAAACCTCAAGAACACCTTTCGCGTTCAAGATTGCGGAGAAAAGACGTTTTGTTGTCATCTTGATCTGATTATTGTTTTTATTACTAACTGAAGAAGAAGGTTTATCGTCAAGACATTTCCAGAGAAGTTCAATACATTCACGAAGGATCTCTCTAAAGCCAAGAATATCAGAGTGATGTAGATTGTTCATGATGACGATAGTGATTAACATTGAAAAGAAATCGAGAAGTACGGTATTTTGCAAATTTCGGCGTCGAATGATTCGTGAAGATTCATCACGAAGATGAGAAATGAAGAGTTGCAGAACTGGTAAATAAATATTAGGAGATTCACATAAAAGTTGAGATAGCTCATCAAGGAATTCCTTCAGTTCCGATCCCGACGCCTTAATACATCGTTCTAATAACGCGTTTTGTAACTGTCCATCATTATTCTGAGGGCCTGTGAGACCTTCAAGAAGTTCAATTAGGAGTTTTCCATCCATGAGAAAAGGTGTCAATATATAATTGTTTTAAAAAAAAACAACCTTAATGTAAAAAAAAAGTGGTAATAACAAATAAAGATTTGAAGGTTTTAATTCTTATAAGCAAAAGGTTTTTTAAAAAAGCTTTAAAAATATTATTATATTTTTCCTTTTTAACTATTATTAGAGAACTTTTTTAACAATAACTTTTAACACTATAAGTAAAAAAAGTTTGTTAGAACGAAAGGAAAACAAATAGATTTTTTTTTTTTAACAAAATAAATAAATAAATAAAAAAAAAAATTGAAAATTGAAAAAGAAAAAAACCAATATTCATTTATATATTGTAAAGAAATTTGGTTGAAAGGGAAAAAAGAAAACCCTAATTCTAATAATTTGAATGTGTGGGAATAACACGTATATAAAGAGTTCCTATAAAAGTAGTACAGATAATCAGAAGACCTTGACCCTTATGAAAAAATATTCAGTTTTTCCGGAGTAGCTTGTCGATCATTGTGATCAAATTTTATTCATTATTAAAATTTTTTGTTTTTCTTTCTTAATATTTAAAAATGTTTTTTTTTAAAAAAAAAATTTTTTACAAAATTTTAATGATAACTTGGTTAAAAAAATTTTTTTTTTTTTTTTTTTTTGTTATATATAATAAATTATATACAGTATATACATATATAGTCAAACTCTCTATACTTATAAGTGCATTCCCTTCCTAAATGCACAATTTTAGTTCAATCCCAAGTATATATGATTTCTAATTATTTATTCTCTATAAATGCACACCCTTTGTAATTGCACGCTTTTTTCTGGTCTCAAAAGGGGTGCATTTATAGAGAGTTGACTGTATATAATATATTTAATATATTTAATTGAATTTTTATATTTAACCATAAAAAATCTTAATTTTTCTTGAATCAGATAAGGAATTGATTTCTAATATTACGAATTAGATTAAAATAATAGGTTTTGATTTTTTTATTAATTATAAATTTACAAGAAATTTCCACTATGATAACATTTGTATAAAGATTTAAGAAATACAAGAAGAATTACTATATTAATACAAGTTCTTTTTATGTAATGTGATCATATTAACCTTAAAAGGATCAAGATCTAATATAACGCAAAATAATAACAATGTAACGAACGTGATTTTAAACTTTCCGTATTGAAAATAACTATTTATTAATTTCATCATTGTGTTAGAATTATGAATAATAAATATTATTATGATATTTTTTTCCTAATAAAATAAAGATTTCTCATATAAATTACTGTATCATTGATATAATAAGATATTGATAGCGTCAAACAAAATATAAATAAATAAATAAATAAAAAATACATATATATATATACATATACCGTATGTACGTATCAATTCGCTTATTTCGATATTTTGATATGGTAGATCTTATACTATAATTCAAACATTCAAAATTTTAGGGTTCTGTGTAGATCTTTTTTTTTTGCTATATTTATCGTATTACAAGATTAACCAAGTGAGATAACATCGAAATTTTTCTTTCTTATTAATTATAATTATTTTAATTATTTACATTTTTTTTAAATTTATTTAAAATAATATAATACATTTATAGATATGATCAAAAAATTTTTTACAAAAATCGAATTAAATTATTTCAAAAGAAAAGAAAAAAAAAATTGTTTTTTTTTTTTTTTTTTTTTTTTTTTTTTAT